TGTGTGTGTGTGTGTGTGTATGTATGTTTATCTATAGTTATGAAAGCCAATTTTTGGTTCAATACCATCATTGTAAGGACATTTTGACGTGAGGATATCTTGACATTATGAGGACATTTTTTCATTGTGAGAACATTTTGACGTGAGGATATCTTGACATGGTGAGGACATTTTGGCTGGTCCTCACAATTTCGAAGGCTTGTTTGAGGGTTAAGTGTTGGTTTTAGGGTCAGAATAGGTTTGGGTGGTTAAGCTTAGGGGGTTAAGGAATGCATTATGTCAATGAGGGTCCTCACTAAGATAGATGTACAAACGTGTGTGTGTGCATGTGCCCCCACCAGTGTGTTTGCTCCTGTATTACTAATGTTGTGGGGACCTACATCTATTTACGCAGTCACATTATGGAGACTTGTCCTCCTTATGGGGGCCAGAATGGATGTTTGTTCCTGTCTGTCAAGTATGCGGGATCATGGTTGTGAACCTATAAAAGCTTTGCTTTATTTCTTCTCTGCACAACTTTTGCCTGGAGTGAAGAATGGATACTGCGCACTGAGTCACTTAGCAGTATCCACTTCTTTGAGGCACCTCGGTTTCTCCAGTAGTTGTAATGTGATGAAAAATTCCTCAAGCTTTTTTAATTTTGTCTGTGCACGGTTAGGAGAAAATACATATTTCAGTAACTGAATTGCAAGTGTTGATTTCCAATACACTGCATATTTACTCTTTGACAAGAACCCAGAATTGACCAAGAATTGAATTTACTTAAAAACCTGCCAAAAAGATCGATGTTGTTTTAGTGTTTGAACTTTTTTCAAACGTGAAATATTTGCTTTTATCGTTCGTTTTATTGGATTATCAAAATCAAAACATAACCTAGCCATGCTTCACTTAACAACTTTCCCAGGATTGTTGGTAGTTGGCCTGAACTGTGATTTTCCTGTTTGGCTGATGAGATGTGGAAAACTAGCATGGGGTGCTGATACCCATCAACATCCGAGTAACTGAGGGCAACAGAGTGAGGTGTCCTGAGTAGTAGGAAATGAACTGTTGGTTCACAGAAAATGCTCTGGGGGCATGTTTAGGCTGCCCATGATATGATATGTCTACATGTTCATTATAAATCACAGCCACCACATACATCTGCTTCCTCCGAGTGCTGAGGATGGCGATTATAGGAGAAACAGAAATGTTTCTTGTGTCCTGGTTCCTTCATCCGGTGATTTAACAAAGAGTCATGTTGGCTTCAACTCACCCATGGATTTACATCTCAGACTGTGACAGATACAAGGTCCAGGGTTCAGAAAGAATTGATTCCAATGATATTATTGTGCGTTCATGTGGCGTAGGAATAAAGCGGGAAGATGACTTCACCTCTGGGAAAATTCACGTGAACGTCATCTCAAGTGGGAACAACAATGCAAAAATGTTGGTTGTTTTGACATCATTTCCCATTATAATGAGCTGTAAACAGTAGCTTATTATGTCAACTTGTCAAACGTTGCAAACTGTACGTCCATCTCTCACAAACACTGAACCCCTTAGTGTGTCCACCTTTTTTTCATTTTCCAAATTCAAAGCACATAAACACACCCAAGTCAGAACAACTCAAAAATAGGACCTCCAGAGGAACTTTCTTTCACCTCCAGGGGCATTTTAAGGGACTTTGGGGTCCCCAGGCAAAATGGACCAGCATAGTTGTCATTGAGTGGATTTAATCAACTGTTCTCAGGGGCCCCGAGCTGAGAGGGGCCCCCAGGCTGTTGCTTACTTTGTCTGCCCTGTTGCAACAACTCATTAGTCCGATTGTGTGCAAAGACAAGTGACAATTAATGCATCAGAGGCTGTAAGTGGCGTGTGTATAATATTAAGGTTATGTCTGTTGACCATATGATCATAACTCCTAGACAGCATGAATCATCACTCACCAAATGCCTTCTTGGGCCCGACCAGGCGAAGAGTGAAGGGGATACCTCTCGGTTGCTCTTTCAACATCTTGGCCACCTCGTAGTGTCGACAGCCCACAATGCTCTGGTCATTAATGGCCTCGATGTGGTCTCCGACACACACGCTCTTAAGTTGGTCTATAGTACTGCCCTCTTTTATCCTCTGACAAAAGAAACAAATGTAAAAGTTCTCACGTGGGTGTCGATGCCCAGTCTGCAGTGCTTGTTTGTGCTATCTATTCACAAAGAGGGTTTACATTTTAAAACACATGATCAGAGATTTTAGACTGATCAAATGGGGATTCAGATTATTTAAGGTCATCCCTTTTCTTTTGCTACAGCAAAACCCTGAAGTGTTTTCTGTTTCATTTACCCCGAATACCTCAAAACAATTTTAATCTATTGCGCCTCAGCCTATTTTTGTACTTTCACACCTTAATGAAAGCGTATCCAGCTCCGTTGTCTGTGATAGTGAGGCCCAGTGCGTCTTCTGTCTTTGTCACCTCCACCTCCTTGGTTTCTCCTCTGACGTGAGCAAAGATGAAGTCCTCCAGTCCGATCTGTCCCCCCAGTAGTTTCTGCATGTCCACTTTATGAGAGTTGAGGGTGCAGAACAGGATCTGATGCGAGGAAACGGGATAACAAAAATGAATTGTTTCTATTTTTGATTTCAGAATCCAATATCATTTACACCCATGCAAAAGCAAATACCATAAATACTTAATATAAAAGAGAAGCTCATTTCTGCTGTAACACCACAGCAATATCCTGCTGTTGCTTTGCTTTGCAATAAAAACAAACCTGTCAGGTTTTGTTAATATTGTAGTGTACAGAGTTTAAACACTAGAGGGCAGTAGAACCATGTGCTTTTTGCTATTGTGGCCATTTTGTTGAGTCATTATTGTGATTCCAAAGTAAGAGTGTTTTTATATTTCAGGATGAATGTAAAAACCTGGAAATTGTTATCAGTAAAGACACCAATTATATTTAATTTCCTATATAATAGATTATGAGGTAAAATAATAGTTTTTTTCAAGGGTTGGTGATTGAATCAATAGATTGAGTCAGTAGCAAATGGTATAAAAAAAAACAAATTTTAAGATAATTTTCTCCAAAGTGTCTTTAAGTCATTGAGCTGATCAAAACTCAAACATGTGAACTCAATATCTACCAGGAATGTGTGAATGCTGTTGGCTTGAACCTTTGAATTGATGATGTTAAAAGGAAATCCCTCTGAAAATGTGTACATCAGCGTTTGTTTTTGCAAAAACGTTTTCTATTTGATATTGTGAAAGCCTAAAGTTGAAGTTCATCTTTAATTGTATAATCCATAATGGAAATTCAAGATAACCTGAGTGGCCTGTTATCTCATTTGGAGCAGTTCCTGTTAGACATTGCTCACAGTCATGCTCCCGGCTAGTCTAAACAGTTTGACTACAGTCCAAGGTCTTCTCTAGAATCTACCTGTACTGTAACTTTATGCTGCTGCTGCTGTTCTGTCCACAGGAGGTCAAGGAGACTGCTGTGCTTCTCACTATCACCATCTAATTGCCTGGTATTTCTCGTAGAAAGGTATCTGATATCTGTCTGTGTGCAGTTCAAGGTTTTGAAGATATACTTCAGGTTATTAGATAAGCAACTTTCACATTGACATCTGATTAAACAAATGCTATTTGATTTCTTACTATGAGACCTTGAAGCTCTGTACACTTGCCTTGAAGACTAGGAACTGTTTATTTAGCATTCTATAGTTAAATCTTGTCATTTCCATTATAGGAATAGTATTAGTAGATATAAACTAAAACAACAGCCACAATGTGAGGTTGCATTTATTATTATTAATAGTAATCTATCCAACTGTACTTATTCTTCCAGTATTGTTGGAGACAAAGTGGAATTCTCTCAACTAGAATGGGACTCAGTAGAGCCCATACCTGCACCAAGTCCCAATACATTTAAATAAGATACACCAACTTTCACACACTCCCTAACTATGCCTGATTTTTTTTCATCAAGATCCATGAATTATTCTCTGGGAAGACAGTGAAATATTTTTTTTAAAGCCCTATTTCGCAACGTTGCTGAATGTTGGAAAAATTCCTGAATCCGCCCCCTTATCCAAAGCTGCACCAAAATTTGATGGTATCTTTGGTGTCCAATTTTGCATATTTTCATCAAGTTTTGTGGTAATCCATTCAGTATTATTTGTGTAATCTTGCTCAAAACTAACCCTAATCCACACAGATGGATACCAAGGACCTTCAATTAACCACCTCTCTAGCTTAAATCATCCGTGTATTCCCATGTGGCACTGTAATTCATTAGAGGTAGGAGTGATACCTTAATTACACAATGTAGATGAGATATGTGTTTAAAGTACTGTATGCTATGTTAATGAACATGTGAAAACTCTTTCCTCAATAGATGTTAAGCGTTTGGGAGTGGAAACTTGCATAATGCAAGGGAAGAGATGGAGCAATAAGATCTGTCACATGTCTGTTAGTTGCCTGACGATTTGTTGATGCATGAAATGTACATTGGTCTACATATATCAAGTCAACTCTGATTGTTTATGTCCAGCAGGTCGTAATACACAGATAGGACGGGCCTTCACGGCAGCCTTCACAACTCTACTGATAGGTGCTAAATAGGGCCAATGGCGAGTGTTACTGTTGTGGTTGCTGAGTGTGTAACCATAACATACTAGAAAAAGCTGCAGGACACTGGCCTATCATCATCCATCCATTATCTATACCTGCTTGTCCTTTAAGCATCACAGGGGTGGGGGCTGGAGCTCATCCCAGCAGACATTGGGTGAGAGGTGGTGTTATCACTACGCCGACATATAGAGACAAACAACTATTCACATTATGATCAGTTTAGAATCTCTAATTACCTGAAGTGCACATACATCATTCAACAGTTGTAACTAACTAAGAAATGATTTAACTTGCAGTTGTTTTAAGACAAGCAAGTCACAGAAATGTCAGCTTTTAGCAGTTGTCAGTCAGTGTGCGTTCATGTGTTTTGGGCCGAAGCTTTGACGAGAGACACAATAGGAGGAGGTGGGGCAATCGGTTGCATTAATTTGAAGTGTGGCCTTCTCGTGCTAGCTTTTCCAGGATTACAAACCCTAGCTTTAAGAGAGATGCCTGGCTAAACTTGTTAGGTATAGCTTCCCAGGTATTTCCCTTGATTCTCCAGTTTAACAAATTCTTCTCCCACCTGTTTCTCCAAGTAAATTTTAGAAGATATAGGCTGAAGTGAGATACATACTTTTGTCTCCTGAGCTGAAGAAGAGTAAACTTTGAGCAGTAAAATTTTGCTTGAGGGTTTTTTTTCGCAGCAGTCTTCTTGACTTAAGATATTAGGTAAATAGTGAAACTAATAGTAGGTGAAACTAATCACATTAATTCAAGCTATGTTGCGAAATGGATCGCATCATTTAATAATGTGATAGAAACATGTTTAAAATGGCTGCTGTGACAAATTTCTGCAGTCAGAAATTTCATGCTCTCAAAACAGAGTTTTCTACAACTTTCCTCCAGTCTTTCATCAATAATCAGTTTCCTCCTGAGCATTCTTTATTTTAGTTTATTTAGTTCAGACTAAAATACGCTATAGACATGACTTGACATGACTTGTAACAAAATTGGATGCCTTTCGCACATGCACAGTATAGCGGGAGGTGCTCTGAACAGACGAGTTCATAACAGCAACAAATCCTCAGCAGCAGGCAGAGGCAGGATATAACCTATTAATTTTATACTATTGTTTTCTTTTTGTGTTTTTCATTTCTGCATCTGTTATGTGTTTGAAGCTCCATCAACCCCCCCACTCACTCACTGTGAATCCATCGGGGATCCCAAATTACACATCAGATTCTCCTGACTTCCTACAAACTTATTCCAGGGGGCCAGGCGGTGAAAGTATGCAGATAATCAGGAGCCTCTCACACGGACGTTTGGAAAATGTCATTTGAAATACAGCTCACTGACTGAAAATAGTTCATCAGATGTCTTTTAATATCTCGGCTTTGCAGGAGCTTTGTCAAGTCTTTGAAAATAGCTGTGGTGATTCCATCAGGGTATTATCTAGGACTGGCCTTGGATACTACAAGCATAAGAAAAACCATGTGTGGGCATTTACTTGGCAGAGAGAATGTTTGTAATATGAGACATGTAGGAGCCAGTGTTTTTTGGATTTACACATATAGTCACTATCCCAGCATCTGCAGTGACTCCACTGAATCACTGAGTGAAAGCAGCACTGCTGAAGTTTATACTGATAATCATCATCATTATCACATAATTTCCTAAGAATTAGGCAAACCTTGTTCAAACAGATATTTGAGTATACTACCATCACTTGAAGCACCAATTGCTCTTTTACCTTATCTTGTTATTTGAGTTATATTCAAAGCATGGGTTGTGTTTACTGACAGTGCATTATCTGATTATTTGTTTCCATTATTGATCCTGGTCAATATGAGACAAGTGCAAAGTCTAGCAGACAGTATTGAGGGCAAAACATCTTCAATGGAAAACTGCTAGAATGGAAACCCAACACCTATTTGCTGCTGGCCTGCCATACTAGAGAAGAAAGAAGGGAATTTAACTTAAGTTGTTGATTTCCATAACTGCAAATTCCTAGTCTGACAAAGTCAACATGCATAGGTTGGTTTGCTTTGTACCTCTGAAGGTGAGATGTTGAACACTTCTGCAATCTTGGCATACAGCTCCTTGACATTAGTAAATCCATGAATGCGGCCTGTGGGACTTCCGTGGGCCAGCTGAGTGTGAAAGATGAGCCTCGGTCTCGGGTATTCTGGCGGCCCTGGTGGTGGTGGTGAAGGTGGAGGAAGCGGAGGCGCTGTGGGCTCCATGCACCCCTCGGTCCGGCTGTGGTTCTGGGCTTTCTGGTCCCCCATGGCTTCAGACCCTGCTGCCTTGGAGTCCTGCGGACTCATAGTCTCCCCGTTCTGCATTGGCCCCAGGTGAGGTGCTCAGTCCTCTGGGAGGCCTGGTGCTGCACTGCTCTGGCAGAGAGAAAAGCACAGTCCTTACCCCCGCTTAGCTGATCGACCAGCCACCAAGAGCTTTGTGGTGAAGAGTACAGATGAATTAGTGATGATAGTAGCCTGGTAACAGTATCTGGAAGAGGCCAGCCAGACCCTACCAGGTAGAAACCCAATACGCTGTGAGTTGAGGATTGTATGTGTTACACCTGAGACTCTAGCTCGCTCGTTCAAAGAGAGCACAAACAAAACACACGAGGGGAAGGCCTCTTCATAAACATAACACAATTACAAATTGAATCGTCTGATGGCAAGACACACACAATCCTGAATGAGTGAAGCTACCTCTGAATAGTGAATTGCCCAGAATGTCTGCAAAATAACAAATGTGGGCCATTCAGTGATGGTCACAGACAGCGTCCCAGTGCTGCAGGTAAGATGATATCACTGGATAGGGAGTAAATGCCCTCCCTTCCTTCACTGGGCACAGTGAATGCAATAGGCTGTTGCTGGGGTGAATCATTGGTGATGAACTGACCTTTTCGACCCCACAGACGGCACACACATAAACTGATGACGACAGATTAGGCATAACAGATGTTTTTAAATATCAGTTTCCTAATTTAAATGTGTGCACGTGAAGAGGCCTTAAATTATATTCCCTTATACAATATAACTTACCAACTAATGAACTACTACAATAAATGACATACATATATACAGTGTATTGTCCCCACCTCATATTTAATTTATAAGTTAAGTGCTACGTGTGTTGCTTATACTTTGGATTCAATTTTGAAAAGGGATTCTTTTTCATTTAAATTTTATATATTTTCACCCTAATTAGTTGTGAAGGCTTTAATGGAACATAACCCCTAATTCCCCAAACTTACCAATGCTAAGGTCCTGTGTAATAGATTTAACAAGATATTCATTGGTTTGCAATTCTTTCTCCAAATGTTGTAGAGAGACACTGAAACTGATTAAAGTCTCTGCTGCACAAGAGAAAACCTTAATTTATGTTGGTTTGTCTGATACAGCTCACAATCAACTATCAAATATGATGTTTTTTCCCCCTCTACCAAATTGTATTCCTCCCTTCTACGACACGTAGGGTAAATATTGGATTTGCTAAACAGTATAGCAGGATTCTTTTCTACCAAGGAAATGTTTTGTAGTCTTATTATTACTGAGATATATAGTATTTGCCGCTGCAGCTTACTGCAAGGGCTTTGTTTGCAAATATTTTGTTATAAATGGTTCTATTTAAAACTGAAAGACTGTGTGGGGGTGACTTCATGTCAATCTGAAACTTTATATAAACAGTTCAGCCAGTTCACATGCAAACAGTAATGAAACATGCAGGCTTCAAAACCACAAATCACCCAAACCCTCCTGACTCTCCAGTGACTGTGATGAACAATAGAAAGTGATGAGAGCCAAACAAAGTTTTAAATAATCCAGGTAAATGTTGTCTAGATAAATGGTAAGAAATGCATTATTCATGACTGCCAGTATCAGCAAAATATAAGTGTTAAAAAGTAGAACTTTTTTACAGAGAATATTTTTTGGTGATGTAGTCAATGTGGTCAAATATTGACAGGGTCTATAGGTGATTCAGTATTCGTGACTAAGACTGCAAATATAAGTTATGTTCAACCCTCAACCAATCAGGAAAGGATGTTTCTTTTGAATATAGATTCATACATAGTGGATAGATACCACAAAAAACCCAGCCATGACTCATAGTCAATATTCCCATTTGACTCTACCATGGTAATCACATGCCCATAGCAATTTTATTTGTCTCACTTTGTGCCAGCTGATGTCTTATTTGTGAAAATAGGGGAAGTTTTTGTGTCAAGACACAAAAAACATTTCTATCTCTCTTTCGGAATTTGAAATACCGACCAGGAACGTGCAACCAACGCTGTGTGATTCCCCTTCGACAAAGAGTCTTTCCCAGCTGAATGCATGCTGTGTGCTCATGCTTCATGAGGTTTTAACCGCATACAGTCACAAAATATGTCTTATTTTAATGGCAGTCACATTCCAAGTATGAAAACAAAGGGGTATGCTGCCTCGACACATTGCTTGCAGCAGTTCATCATTCTGCTGCCCTTTTTTACCCTGCCTCATCAGCATTTCTATGCACCTGTGCCGTAACTTGCGTGGCTGCAGCAGTTGTGTGCGTCATAGCCTGTTTTTTTTTATAGCCAAGGTGTTTCTTGCCTTTCAAGGTCAGTTTGTTTACTACAGAAGCTGATGTCTAATATGAAGATTTCTCTGGCTAAACTTTCATTTGGCAAAAGGCAATCCTTGAAGCAAAGGACAATTCTCCTTTCTTTCAGACGTTTGAGTTAGGTAACATCAGAGATTACAGTCTGGTTCTAGTTTTTGTGTAACTGTAAGCACGAATACAAATAATTTGCTGAATAGAAGAGGACCTTCATTTTGTGTTGATAATTTCCAAAGTGGCTGTTCTTAAGAGCACTCATCCACCATGACATTCACATTAAGCTTGTGATCGTGCACTTCTAAAGCAACAAAAGTATATTTAGTTCATATTTGTCTGAAATGTTTCAACAGCATAGTCCGCATTTTTGTAAATGCTCTTACACCAGTACTTTCAAAAGGTATGGATTAGTTACTGAAACTTACTCTCAATAATTAGAGACAAATTTCTGCAGGGATCACAACATGTAAAACTTTCTACAGTTCAGCCACTTCACATGCAAACATTAAGGAAATATATAGGATTCAAAACTGCAGCTGCCGGCCAAACCTTCCCAACTCTAGTGATTATGTGGAGTAGAGAAGTACAACAGAAGTGATGAATAAAATCTAACATACTTTTAAGAATTACCTAAAATTGACTAGGAAAATGTTAGAGACTTCTTAGTCATGACTGACACAATTAGCAAAATGAGGCTTATTTACATAGTAGATAGTATTTTCTTAAGGCCTTGATAAATATTAACTATTTTATATAGGTCAAGGATGTCTTTTGTGTTTTCGTATTTTATTTACCTTTGTGAATGATGGTTTAAATGCAACTTAATATCAAAGACGCAGTAATTTTCACATTGTCATTGAATTGTTTATAGTAACTAAATTGTTTTATCTAATCCTGCTCTGCATTACAATTTACACACTTAAACTCTCACTTGAAGAAAGCTATAAGGTAAATAAGGCCTTAGATACAGCGTTTCTCAGAAATGTACTGCATCATAACGTGTTCAATAATTTAAATCAAAACACAGTTTATCTGATAAATAGATAGATGGATAATCATACATCATACATCATACATCCTACAAGAATGCTATCAGCAATCACTTCACTGACACCATTATTCGGATATTAACTTATAATAAGACAATAGTCTATATAAGACGCTGCCATGTAAACTGCTTTTTCAGATTATCTTAACCCTAAGGAGGTCATACTGCAAATAAGCAATGATCAAATTAGGACATGTCAAATATTCCCATCTACTTCAGATTATGTTGACATGTATACGTCTTAATCTTGTTATAATTTCATTTTTTGTAAATTGTAAATTGAAATATGAATTAAATGTTATATTAGCAACAAGTAAACTTCATAAACAAAATAATATTTTATTCAGAATGAAATGAATAATCAGATTATCTCAGTCACATGTTCATATAATCAATAACACATTGGGCCACTCTATGACATAAAGCCTCAAGTTGAATAACGTTGTACCTCACATTTCCAAACAAATTAGGATTGATTCAAATGACCTTACACTACAACTGACTCACTGCATCTGTCTTTTTCTGAGTCGTCGTCCCCCCCCCCCCCGATTACGTCACATGCTTCCTGGTGAAATGTGATTTCCTCTTCTCTATCTGATTTGTTTCCTAGCGGAGGCATAACGGAGGACTGGGGGCTGGCTGGCTGGCTGGCGTAGGCCAGATTGTGTGAGGGTGGTGAGACTGCTGTGTCATGTGGCGGCACACTGCCTCTTCTGTTCTTGGTGGTGCCTGATGGGCTCCCTGGTGAGAGGACAAAAAAACCCCGCTGCTGATGACTGGTTCTCTTTTTTTAAATGTGTTGCTTTATCAATAGAGTCACAAACCACTCTACTCATGAGAAAGCTGTACTGAAATCAGATGGAACTGTGATTTAATGACAACTCATCAATGTGTCATGGTATGACACATTAAAGTTACATCAGGAAAAACTATAATAGTAATCTATCCAACTGTACTTATTCTTCCAGGATTACTGGAGACAAAGTGGAACTCTCTCAACTAGAATAACACTCAGTAGAGCACATACCTCTGCCAAGGCCCAACAGTTCCCTTAAATTCAATTAGGCAGCATTAACTTGTACACACTCATTTAAATCACTACCCTAAATATTCCTGATATTTTTCATCTCGATCTATGAATTATTCTCTGGCAAATTGGTGAAAATGTTACAAAAAGCTGCACCAAAATTCAACGGGTTCTTCCCTGATCGATGAATACCTCAACTTGTCAGCCAGTGCAGAAGCTTGTAAATCTTCAAATTAATTTCAGCCATGAAAATGACAAAAGTCCTCATCATTTACTTCCTTAGGGACACGTCAAATAATTGCATAGTTCAAAACCATATTTTAAATATGAACATTGTGCAAGTTCCTTTGCAAATTGAAAAAAAAACACGTAATGTAGTCACAAGTAACACACCTATGTGACTTAGCTGACAATTTAAACTTTGGCCTTGTGGCCTTGGTCTGCTGATTACACAGTAGCTGTGTGACTTGGCCATTTGTTGCTGCAGTTGTTGCCTTTCTTTCTCAAGTGAAGGGGGAGGTGAGAGACTTGGCCCCTTCATCAGCTACATGCACAATGCAACAATACTAAAATAAAGGGTTTCATGCTGTGGCATTAGAATAAAAGCCACCAAGTGAGCAACTGGCTTGTTTTCTGAGTCACTGGCATCCAGTTCCCTTCATATGAATAGAAGTGGTCACTGATCTCAAAGCTTATTATGATTCATGAGATTAAAGCCATTTCAGTTTTTTACTTTTAAAGGTGCTGCCAGTTTATGTCACTTCTCAAACTCAAACATATCTAAGGCCTTGTCTACGCGACTGCAGATATTTTTTGAATGGATATCTTTATTTTTTTAAATCTCCAACCGCCACGTTCTTCATTTAAAAAAAATTCTTTGTCCAGATAATTACACAAATGACATTAAATGTTAAAAACAACCATACTGAGCCAATGTGATAATGCCTACAGATACGATCCGTTAAATAGCAGAGAGGAACATTGTGAGCATTCTCAGTGAGCATTATAGCTGCAAACTTGTACTTAGACCTAGTAGTGCATACCAAACAGATCAGACCACCATCGTTGTTGTTTCTTACACATGCTCATAAAAAACAAAAAAACAAACAAACTGGGTATTCACGAGGTTAGCTGTGACATACTTGTTTCTCAAACACTCTGTTTTACATGTACACGAGGATACACAAATAAGGTTTTTGAGTATGTGCACATGAAAATTTTCCATTTTGGTGTCTTAAAACATCATTGGCGTATGGACAAGGGGCCCAAACGAAAAGGAAAATGTTTGTTTTGTAAAACATATATCTGCCTTAGTCAGGGCAGGGCTAAAAAGTGTATGTGTAGTGTATCTATATCATGTGTATATAAAAGATAACTAAAATAGAATAAAAACATGCAAAAACATAATTAATAAAACATTTTACTTCACTGGGCCTTACTAGGCACCCAAGGACACCTCACAATAGATCAGAAATAAAAACATGAATAAATAAACAGTTAAAATCCGAAATCTATTATGTGTTAATAGTTAACTTTATTGTCAAGTCTGCCATATGCACAGGACATAGATGTGATCAAAATGTAATTTCTCTCTTAGCACCAGGTGTAAACCTACAAGTAGCTCAGTCAACATGTTCGCAATCAAAAGACACAGGGCAATCAGGATATGAGTTGTGCAAACCGGATTAATGCAAGAATACATAGAGAATTACAAAATACTTCCTTGAAACTAGTAGAAATAAATTAAATATTTGTATTGTCAGTATTTCCACTAGCACATACTTCTTATGGTACTTATAGTGACCGAGTTGCTGTAGTTCTGTTGGCTATTTTCATCTCACTGCAGTTTACCTATTCTTTACTCATTTTGAACTTTCTATCTAGCTATCTATCTATTTATCTATCCATACATCTATC